TGGGCTTCCTGAGGTAGAGGCCACAGCTCAAATCTCAGACAAATAAGAATGTCAGCCAATGTTAATTTTGTTGTTATTTAAGTGTGCTCCTTCCCACCACCAACTAGAAACATTAGAAAACACACCGTTCTCCCTAGAAAAACCTGGTTGGTATTCAGTGAATTTTCTAAGACTCCTATCTCCTAAAAATTCACTCTTTGAGAAGGTTTTTAGAAAATGTCATACTCAGTAACATTTCTATACAGCAGATCGAGAGGCCCAGGTTAACCTCCAATGAATTTTTTGTCAGGACCTATTTTCCAACATGAAAGTTCAATCAAATGAAGCTCAAAGCAGAAATTAATCTTGGATAAATCTTATATGCAGAGTATATCATGTGAAATGCCTGGCTGGAAGAAGCACAATCTGGAATCAAGATTGCCAGGAGAAATATAAATAACCTCAGATATGCAGATGACACCACCCTTAGGGCAGAAAGCAAAGAAGAACTAAAAAGCCTCTTGATGACAGTGAAAGAGGAGGGTGAAAAAGTTGGCTTAAAACTCAACATAGAGAAAACTAAGATCATGGCATCTGGTCCCATCAGTTCAGTTCAGTTCAGTTCAGTCATTGGGTCATGTCCGACTCTTTGCGATCTGGAACTTACTCAAACTCATGTCCATTGAGTCGGTGATGCCATCCAGCCATCTCATCCTCTATTGTCCCCTTCTCCTCCCGCCCCCAATCCCTCCCAGCATCAGGGTCTTTTCCAATGAGTCAACTCTTCACATAAGGTGGCCAAAGTACTGGAGTTTCAGCTTCAGCATCTGGTCCCATCACTTCATGGCAAATAGATGGGGAAACAATGGAAACAGTGACAGACTTTGTTTTCTTGTGCTCCAAAATCACTGCAGATGATGACTGCAGCCATGAAATTAAAAGATGCTTGCTACTTGGAAGAAAAGCTATGACTAACCTAGACAACATATTAAAAAGCAGAGACATTACTTTGCCAACAAAGGTCTGTCTAGTCAAAGCTATGCTTTTTCCAGTAGTCATGTATGGATGTAAGAGTTGTACTATAAAGAAAGCTGAGCACCAAAGAATTGATGCTTTTGAACTGTGGTCTTGGTGAAGACTGTTGAGAGTCCCTTGGACTGCAAGGAGAGCCAACCTTTCTATACTAAAGGAAATCAGTCCTGAATACTCATTGGAACGACTGATGCTGAAGTTGAAGCTCCAATACTTTGGACACCTGATGCGAAGAACTAACTCACTGGAAAAGACCCTGATGCTGGGAAAGATCAAAGGCATGAGGAGAAGAGGACAACAGAGGATAAGATGGTTGGATGGCATCACCGACTCCATGGACATGATTTTGAATAAGTTCCGGGAGTTGGTGATAGACGGGGAAGCCTGGTTTGCTAAAGTCCATGAAGTTGCAAAGATTTGGACATGACTGAGTGTCTGAACTGAACTGAGCTGAACATCTTGAGGTATTACCATTATATGGTATTTTCTTGGGAAAAACAACACATATGAATACATATATATGTGTATCTATATGCTCATCTGGGTGTATGTCTTCACTAACATGAGAGTCAGTGTTAGGTATTGAAAATATCACTGACCTTGAAGTCAAATGAACTTCAACTTGAATAAAAAAAGACAATACCAATTTACATCACTTTTACTATTAAACATGTCCCATTTAAATGATAAACTTCATATTATTCCAAATAATCTTTATAACATCTCTGGTAAAGTTATTGACCTAAAGCATATACTCAATAAAAGGCAGTCATTCTAAACAAAAGTTGATACAACTAAACTTCTTCAACATCTTCAGGGAGGTACCGTTCTTACTTACAAGAGAATTGCATAGTTATTGACAAAGAAAAGAGAAAAATGGAGGGATGTTTATAACTCAAAAAACAGATGAAAATATCAGGAAAAGGTCATCAGCCATTCCTTGAAAAGGATGGAGAAAAGCACACATGTGAAGTTATCATTTAACTCAGATTCTACTCCTGGCAGCCTAACATTGAGAATCTTCCTAAACTAGGCCTCCATAGGGAAAATATAATCTTCGAATCACCCAGAAGAATAACTTTCTATTCTATTAAATTATTATAGAATAGGTAATATGCCAAAGAATATTCAAAGTACCACACAATTACACTCATCTCTCACGCTAGCAAAGTAATACTCAAAATTCTCCAAGTCAAGGCTTCAACAGTACGTGAACCAAGGACTACCAGATGTTCAGATGGATTTAGAAAAGGCAGAGGAACCAGAGATCAAACTGCCAACATCTGTTGAATCATAGGAAAAGCAAGAGAGTTCCATAAAAACATCTACTTCTGCTTCATTGACTATGCCAAAGCCTTTGACTGTGTGGATCACAACAAACTGGAAAATTCTTATAGAGATGGGAATACCAAACACCTCACCTGCCTACTGAGAAATCTATATGCAAGTCAAGAAGCAACAGTCAGAACCAGACATGGAACAATGGACTGGTTTCAAATTGGGAAATGGACTGGTTTCAAATTGGGAAAAATAGGTCAAGGTATATTGTCACCCTGCTTATTTAAGTATATCATGTGAAATGCTGGACTTGATGACATACAAACTGGAATCAAGATTGCCAGGAGAAATATCAATAACCTCAGATATGAAGATGACACCACCCTCTGGCAGAAAGTGAAGAGAAACTGAAGAGCCTCTTGATAAAAGTGAAAGAGAAAAATGAAAAAGCTGGCTGAAAACTCAACATTCAGAAAACTAAGATCATAGCATACGGTCCCATCACTTCATGGCAAATAGATGGGGAAGCAATGGAAACAGTGACAGACTTTGTTTTCTTGGGCTCCAAAATCACTGCAGATGGTGACTGCAGCCATGAAATTAAAAGACTCTTGCTCCTTGGAAAAAATGCTATGACCAAACTAGACAGCACATTAAAAAGCAGAGACATTTCTTTGCCGACAAAGTTCCATCTAGTGAAAGCTATTGTTTTTCCAGTAGTCATGTATAGATGTGAGAGCTGGACTATAAAGCTGAGTGTTGAAGAATTGGTGGTTTTGAATTATGGTATTGGTGAAGACTGTTGAGAGTCTCTTGGACTGCAAGGAGATCAAACCAGTCAAACCTAAAGGAAATCCTGAATGTTCATTGGAAGGACTGATGCTAAAGCTGAAGCTCCAATACTTTGGCCACCTGATGCAAAGAACTGACTCATTGGAAAAGACGCTGATGCTGGGAAAGATTAAAGGCTGGAGGAGAAGGGGACGACAGAGGATGAGACGGTTGGATGGCATGAGTCTGAGCAAGCTCCGGGAGCTGGTGATGGACAGGGAAGGTTGGCATGCTGCAGTACATGAGGTCTCAAAGAGTCAGAGACTACTGAGCAACTGAATTGAACTCATTGCAGTATGCCTTCCAAGGGGAGATTCTCTTACTGGCAGAAATGAACCCACCTGAAAATAACAATAAGAATCAGTACACCTGTAGCGCCTCCTATGTGCTAAGCAGTGGGATAGACAGTGCTAGTCGGCAGCTCTTCAACCTCCAACACAGGCAGCATATTGAGACACATGTTATTGAAGAGGGGAATGTGCTAAAGAAGTTGTATAGATTTTTCAAACATATATAGCTAATAAGTAATGGTATATAATTTTTCCCAAGGTTTATCCAAGTTCAAAAAGGACAGAGACCTCAGGTTTTATTTCCAATCTTATGCTTTGCCCCAAAACTAGTGTCTTGAAAGATTGAACACATACTTAATACAATTAGGAAGGATTCTGTGACAGTAGGTTAACCTGTCAAGAATCAAGAACTACATCTGCTTTCTCTGCTTTTTCAGGCAAGAAATGGCGTAAATTTAAGTAGCCATCTTACTAAAAAATGAACAGTCAATATGTAACGAGTATGTTGAATCGACCCAGATTTCTCTGGTGAGGTGGAGGAAGTGAGTGACTAAGAATGTGAAAAGAGGAACTTGCTCAGTGATACCCCATTCCCCAACCTCTGCCCTCCTCTTACATGCATTCTTTAAAGTATAAGGAATAGCCAGGCCTAGCAACACCACCAGGTGAGTTTGTAACCTGCTTACACTTCACATATCCCAGGTGATTAATTCCTACAGTAAGTTATGTTTTGCTTCACTGTTTCACTGAGGAAATGCTCTCAAATCTTAGAGACAATAAGAAACGAGAAAAGATCTATTTAATATAACTACAGACTTAAGATATAGTTCAGGGCAGCTGTGCAGCAGGAATTATCACAAATTCATCCCCAACCAACTTCTGCACAACTTCTATCATTATCAGACTGAGTCCATTGTAAGCCAACAACCAGATGAAAATACACTGGGGTCTTCACCAAAGGCAACACTATCAGGCAAAATATAACCAATATCAAGGTCTTCAATTTAGCTATTCATTTATGTCAACCCTTTTCCAACATTTTCCATTTCCCTAGGGACCTGAAATAGAAACAGTGCCCCAGGGTGGCAGTGAATTTCAGAGAAAGAATGTCATTAGAATCAGGGGGCTGTCATTCATTAACTAAATAACCTCAGAAATTGCTTAATCTCTCTAAGCATCAATGGCCTTATTTACAAAATGACGATGCTGATGAATGACTTCTTAGGTTATCAGAAAAATTAGGTCTGGCACATCAGGCAATGATAACTAATGGCTATTAAACATTTATGATGTGGCAGGTGCTGGATGAAGTGAGTACGGCTAGTAGAAACGCAACCTGAGATACTATATTTAACTTACTTGCCAAAATGCAGATAACTGGAAAGTTCTCAGAAGTAGGATTGGAAGCGAGGGAATCAACGCAGCCTATGCCCTTATCCTACTGCATTCTACTGCCTAATATGAAACTTTGCACTGAGTAAAGACTCGACAAGTATGAGACACAGCCACAGTGACTGGTAACATGTCTATATCACATACAATCAGATTATATAGAACAACTGAACCCTCATGCCAAAGAATACACTATACCTGGGACATAAGTGCAGAAGCTCCCCTTCGACAATGCAGGCTTCTTTCTCGAGAAGTTCAGGGCAATCCTTCCCACCTCCAAGAGCAACGTGCTTCACATCGCGGCTCCTGCTCCTAAATCCTGGCGAGAGACCCCCTGAACGACAGGTCTTAGAGCAGGGGCTCCAGGAAGACCACTCAGTGGTTTCACAGTCTTTCGGCATGATGCAGGACTGGACAGTCAAAGGGAAGGAATCTTGCATGCAAAGGCTGAAGGAACAGAAACAGAAAACAGCAGGCCATGGGCTAAATGAGTGCAATCACATTATGAAGTACCTAGTCTGGATTAAAAACAAAAACAAACAAAAAACCCCTGAAACCTGGGTTTTTCAAGTTTTCAAGATAAGCTCTCAAGTAAGAGAAAAAAAAATTTTTTTAATAGAGGCATCATGATAAACCTATTAAAGGTCTTACATGTTAAGAATGAACACTGGATTTCATCTTAAACTGTGAAGTTACAATGTTTCACTCTCACAAGACACATAAGTAAGATGAGTCTATCTTGTACCTTGTCCAAAGCATCCTCCGAAATAATGGAGGTTCTTCTGTGCTTTCACTTTCTGATACAGCCTACAGTTACTCTTTGTTCAGTGGTCCTCAGAGTCACATACTGCATTGTGCTTCACAGGCATTTTCTTACAACAGTCTCATGAGTTTACCTATTATTACGCCCATTTGTAGATGAGAAAACTTAAGATCAGGAAGGCTAATTCATTTGTGTAAGGCCACAGAAAAGTAAATGTAAGCTTTTGAGTTTTAATCTGTCCATTCTTTTACATACTGGTCTATTAAAAATAAACAAATGTGGCATTATGTTTCCCCATATTGTTAGGCTCTGCACATCAATTTCCTCATCTGCAAAACTGAAGTCCCTTCAAATGCTAACAATGTAATTGGAAAACAGATAAATAAATAAAAAGATATGATAATGTGGTAAACTCAACATAAAATCATTTCCAATGATGAAGAGAAAAACTAATGAGGCAGTGATAGACCACACAGGAAAGCTGGGGGTAGGGGTAGGGGGGCAATTCTAAAACAGAAGGACATCTGAAATACACTTTAAAAAATTAATGGGAACTTCTCAGGCACAGAAAGAAGACTATTTTAAGTCAAATAAGTAGCATATTTGAAGCCTTGAGATAAAGTTTGTGGGCATAGGAACCAGCGGTATGCTAGAACTGGATATACTATTCAACGAGGACCAACTGTAAAATTTTCAGAATTTTGCAAGCCGGTTGATTTCACGTAACTAGCTTAAAATTAGCCATGGTCAGAGTAGTTACACTATCGACATCAGCAAATGCTACAAATGAAGCCGCCTGCCCTATCCTGACCCTTCAGCCAACAGAACTGGTAGTCAAATATTCACAAGCACACCAATGGCAGAAAGTAAGAACCATAAATGGACACATTTATGGCACATAAAATTCAAAGAGGAAAGTGGATAAATATGAGGAATATAGTTCTGTAAAAAGTATGTCTGGAAAAGCTTCATGTCATGGACTAAGGACTTTGGATTTAATTGAGTATTAAATAATTTTAAGTGGAGGAAGTCAAATTCATGTAGGAAGATAATAATAATTCAAGTATTAATTGACATTCTTTGCTTTTTCATTTTGTTTTGTTAGTATTTCCCTTCTTCAGTCAAAGACATCCATTACTTTGGATGAAAGAAAAGGATAGTTTTGAGAGGAATATAAATCAAAGAAAGGGTTCAAACACTGTTCAAACGCTGACTTTCAAAACTGGGCCTATGAAAACCTGGTGGAACAACAGCTACAGAGTCTGGCAATGGTTACTTTGTATGTATTTAAAAGGAGATAAGTATTAAAATATTTCCAAATTTCTGACTTGGAAAAATAATGAAAATTAAGAGAGCCAATAAAGAAATAGATTATAGAAGAGAGTGCAGGGGAGACTACTACATGTTTATACTTGGCCAGATCAATGAGTAAAATATGGTGAGATTTCAATATAGATGTCCTTCATGAAGGGGCTTCCCAGGTGGCACCAGTGGTAAAGAACCACCCCCGGCCCCCCACCGCCACTGTAGGAGATATAAGAGACATGGGTTCGATCTCTGGGTGGGGAAGATTCCCTGTAGAAGGGCATGGCAACCCACTCCAGTACTCTTGCCTGAAGAATCCCATGGACAGAGGAGCCTGGAAGGCTACAGTCCATAGAGTGGCAAAGAGTCAGACATGACTGAAGCAACTTAGCAGGCTTGCGTGCATGCATCCTTCATGAAACCACAGAGAGTTAGTATGGTTTTCAAACTTCACAGTGATATAAACATGTGGTACAATATTTTTTAAAGTCTATTCAGATCATGTGATTCCCTTCAAAATGAAAAAAGTAATGTATACTTCATTATCATTACTCACTTCAGTTAGATATTTGGGGGTCTTGGGATTGAGATAAAATAGGAAGAATCCTTATTGAAAAATTTCCCGCCTAAATCATAATGTACCATCATTGTACAATGGGGAGAAAGGAGGGAAGGACCACCTCTTTTAAACTTATGACACACAGACAGCTGTTGATTAACAAGTTATAGGTTTTTGACTTTTCAGAAGTCATAATTGGCTGAGTTGTGTCCTGACACAAATTCATATGTTGAGGTCCTAACCTTCAATATCTCAGAATGTAACTGTACTTGAAGATAGAGTCTTTAAAGCAATAATTAAGTTAACATGTGGTCATGAGGGTAGGCCCTAATCCAGTATGACTGATGTCCTTATAAGAAGAGATTAGTACACAGACACAAATGGAGGGAAGAGTATAAGAAGATATGGAAAGAAGACAATCTTCTACAAGCCAAGGAGAGAGGTCTTAGAAGAAATCAGTCCTGCTGACACCTGATCCAGTCTCCAGAATTGTGACCAAATAAATGTCTGTTGTTTAAGTTACAGTCTATGCTATTTTGTTAAGGTAGCCCTAATGAATGGATTTAATAAAGTTTCTATATTTGCTCATACTTTTAAAGAGTTTTAATTTCCAAAGTTGATCTTCTTCTTTTCATAATGAAGATCCCACACTATACAGTCTTTTGTCTACAGAAGTGGGTTTGGTCCTTACCATTTGCCAGTAGTCATTCTCATCTTCCCTGAACTATGTTTTCCTACTGAACCAGAAGAAGGGGTAAGACTCCAACAGTACAAGCATTTGGATGGAATTGAGTGAATTAATCAAGGGTTTTTGTAACTCTGAAAGCAGTTTCTAATTCTTGGAATTAGGAAGGGCATATGTTTTAATGATTACATATTTACTATTTTAATGTTATAATTTAATAGCAATATTTAGTATTATTTTTACCAACTTACCTCCTTTATTGAAAAGAGTAATCATAAAAGGTACCACATAAAGCCCTGGTCTGACATAATCAGTGAGGTTACTTCTTTTTCTGAAATAGCGGATTAAACACTAAATGATCTATCAGAAGTATCTGTATCCTGAATTCTGTATCAAAATACATTTGCATGAACTTAGTCTTAAGGCTACTTAGCTTCATTATCTATGGAAAAAAGAATAATAAAATGTGATCTGCTTACCCTGTCCGGAGTTATAGTATTAATATCTTTCAGCCCAAGTAGATTTACCTTATAAACTAAAGCCCCAAACAAAGATTATTGTCTATACACAAATAAGACTCAATTCTTTAATAGAAGGTGATATGCCTTTTTAATAAAACAGACATATACTGCTGATTTAGCTTTTAAAAAAAGACAGAAAAGCCAAGGTAATTAAACCTCCTTGACATTTATAGAGTATGTTGTCATTTGCAAATTACTTCACAAGTATTCAAATGTAAAGGAAACCTTTGAAACGAAAAATTACTCTAGTTATTATTACTTCCTCTGGAAATATAAGGAAATCTCTTTACTTACAAAATAAGGACAGAAACACTTTTAAAAACCAACAGAAAATTACCCGCATTTCATTTACGCTTCAATTACTACTTTAAGAGAATACTAAAGAAACATGCAGAAAAGCTGAGTAATATAACAAACACTTCCACACTTTACTAGCAAAAGCTAAATTTAGCTTCAGATTTAATTAAATAAATGTTTAAAAATTATAAATTCAGGTAAGTAACCTGTGTCTTTTACAATCTTAGTTCCATCTATCTTCTTCATACATAGCCACTACCTTGAAATTGATTTCTATTATTCTTCACACATTTTTATATTTTAAGTAGGTATATGTTCAGAAATAACATTTATTGTCTGGTATGTTTTCAAATGTTTTACTTAAATATTCCTTTATTATTCATATTACTCTGGAAATCATTTTTCTCATTTGATATTATGACTTGTACATCCATTTGAAAAATGAAGATATGGCACATTCATTTTTATTAGTGAGCAATATTCCAACAAGAATACAGGGCAATTTATTTATCCATCTTCTCATTAGTATACCTTTTGGTTGTGTTTAATTTCTTTTGATTCCATAGGATTATGTTTTAAACTTCCTTTTGCATGTCTCAATGTTGCTATACATCTGTGAGCAAATTCCCTAGTATTTTTGCCTGAAATTGGGCCATAAATATTCATGTTAAGCAATATAACAGGTATTGTGGTATTTTTCCTTTCCTACATGCTAAAAATTCTTGGAATTATTAGACTTTTTTTTCCCCCAAATGTTGAGAAATTGTATTTGTTTATTTCCAGGTTACCACTGAGCTGTATTTGTATTTTTCTTAAATCATTAGTGACTACTCAGATTTCTATCCTATGAATTTACCATCCACATTATTTGTGCATTGTGATAGGTAGACTGCTGCTAAGTCACTTCAGTCGTGTCTGACTCTGTGCGACCCCATAGACAGCAGCCCACCAGGTTCCCCCATCCCTGGGATTCTCTAGGCAAGAACACTGGAGTGGGTTGCCATTTTCTTCTCCAATGCGTGAAAGTGAAAAGTGAAAGGGAAGTCGCTCAGTCGTGTCCAACTCTTAGTGACCTCATGGACTGCAGCCTACCAGGCTCCTCTATCCATGGGATTTTCCAGGCAAGAGTACTGGAGTGGGCTGCCATTGCCTTCTCCAGATAGGTAGACTAGTAGTCCCCCAAAGATGTCCATATCCTAATTCCTGAAAGCTGTGAACACGTCTAAGCTGTGAACCTTACCTGCCAACAGAAACTTTGCAGATGCAAAGATACTGAGAGGAAGAGATGATCCTGGATTATTCAGATGATCCCAATGT